AAAAAAGAAAAGAAAAAATAGGCTTTTATTAATTATTTGAGAACTTTTATTATATTTCCCTTCCCTCAGCTCTTCCCAGATCCCTCCTCACCTCACTACATATTCATTTCCATGTTCATTTCTTTTCTTGTGAGTTCCATATATGCAGCCCAAACACTCCTTGTGTGGAAACTGCCAGGAATAATTTTTGACTTATCAAATATCATACTCAAAGAAAACTGATTCTTCCTGTCCCAGCACCTCCCAAATTCTAACAGCTCTTCAGTTAGGGTTGAGGTCTCTTGACATTGTCCCTGCAACCCATGCTGTTATTTGCCCTGTGGAGCACTCAGCCCTAAATGGACACTCATCTCTACCATATCCTTCTCCCCAGTGCTCGAGGATATTTGCAGAAGGGGTCAGAGGGGAGACTTTAAGATTCAGTGAAGGTGAACAACTCCTAGGAAGTAGTGTTTTCCAGAATGTAGGGTATTTGCATACATGAACACACAACAATTGTGACAGCATGCTCAAGCCTGATAATGTTTCAACGTTCTTTTCAATACTAGAAGTCCAAGTACAAATAAGTGTACCATACAGCATTCATCAAAGAAGATTCTTTTTGAAACAGATGGATGCTATTACAGAGTTCGACAATTCGTCACACCCAGAGAGTATATCTCTGAGAGATGCCCAGTCCTAAGCGACATATATACAGTGAAGTCTAAGGCTCATGAAGAATAATTGAAGAGGGGATACAAAGAATACTAGTGCCTCCTTCAACTCTCACCTGGAAAGCTTCCTTTTACAACAGAATGCAATGTACACAGACGGCAATAACTAGCTAAAAGTTTTAGAGAAAAATAGGCTTCAGACTGCATTGTCCCTAGAATGACATATATTAAACCTCACCCATTCCTGGTTCAGGGACCATTGCAGAAGAGGGGTTAGAAAGAATGTAAGAGCCAGGGTTGGTACATGAACATAGGGAAACAGGGGCTTTCTGGCCACTGGAGGTTTGCTCATGTGAACTTGTGGCAATGGTGACATCGAGCACAAGCCCCCTGCTGATGCAATCAGACAGGGCCAAACTCAGAAAGAGGGAAACGTGAGGTCGGCCAGCCATAGCATAGCAACTGTTGACAACTGATTACTGCTGACTGAGGGAGAATAGATATCGCAATCAGACAGGGCCAAACTCAGAAAGCATAGCAACTGTTGACAACTGATTACTGCTGACTGAGGGAGAATAGATATTCCTAAAGATCTCTAGGTACTCTGACAGATGCCAGTGGATAAACTTGTACCAAAAGACATCTGAGCACAAGTGCTTGACAGAAAAGAAATTAACATATATGACAGAATGCATGATGTCTGATGGAGTGCTGCGTGGGCATGTCCTCTGAGGAAACTAGACCTAAACCTCCTAGAGATAGATGCTGAAAAACTCTGAGCACACTGAAAAAGGGGGAGGGATAACCGCCATTTTAGAACAGAGCATGCAGACCTTGCTGTGGTATGGATCCCAGGATGCGCTTGGGTCTCTGGGAGGAGGGAGTTTAGGGTATGTGGATACATGAATGGAGTAGATCTAAAATTGATTAAGAACTATTGAGCGAAATGCAAAAATCTAAATAAAAACTGTTTTTCCTAACTGTACACTGATAAAGGAGTTTGTTACTGAAAAAAGAAAAAAAGATAATGTCAAGACATCAGTGATGTCACCAACAAATCCTCATGTTTTTATTCACTCATGACAGTTTTCTTTCTCCATTTTTCCCACAGTGTAGCCATACAATGAACCACAATTGAGACATTAGCAAGCAAGAATAATACATGGGCATTAGGACTGAATTTTTCTAATATTGCAGCAATCCCATGTTTAGAAAATAAAATCTTAGGTTTCTGGAAAATGAGAAATTATTTAGAAAGTAACCACTATTCTCAAA